CATTAGCACCGATAATAATGTCAGCATTGAATTTCAACGCAGAATCATTCTTGCCAACAAGTGCTACTTTGGACAGAGTAGGCAATTCTGAAGTGAAGTCCTCTCTCGACGTAGGAAAACCACTCCCGCGCAGAAGCATGGACAAACACAACATCCGATGAAGCCGCTCTTGGAGTATTGGAAAAAACGGGTTTTTCAGAAGATTTACAGGCCTTTACGAGTTGGCGACGGCGAGTACCGCATATCGATGAGCTATATGAGCTTTACAACGACATTGACATAGTGCAGCGAATTAAATACAACGGCTAAGCCATGTCGTTCGAATGGAAACCCACGCTCCAGCTCTGAAAGTATTCAAATTGGAACCCGCTGGTGGTAGCAGAGTGAGGGGGAGACACCCACTGCGATGGAAAGACCAAGTGGAGAAGGACTTGGCTTCACTTGGCATTTATAATTGGCATCACTTGGCACAGAAGAGAAACTACTGGCTTGGTTTGTGGAACTCGGCCAAAATCGCTTAGGCGGTTATACCGCCAAATAAGAAGATATTTGGAAGTATTTATTTATGGTATAGTACTGGAACTTGGTAAGGAGAATCTTATTGGAGATATAACAAATTAATTCAATAGATATTCATGGTGAAAAAAATGTTTTTGGAAATGGGAGCGTGGCAACTCCCAGACAATTTGATTTTTATGGAGGAGTTTATGGCAGAGTACTGGAACTTGGTACCAAACTTTATGTATAAAATCTTTCCAATACCCATGGAGAAAAATGTGAGTTAACAACCTTCGCGAGGATAAAGATAAATTATATTTTTGCTCGCATAGCTAGTCTAAGGAGGTCTAAGTCATGGAAACTATCTGCATTCGTATTCGTCTCGCGACGTTTATCGATTTTTTACTGGTTACCGTTTGAAAATTTTCATAGTGTTGCCATCACTTTCATACTAGGACCATCTGCTTAATGTCCAAGTGTATAGATGCACTGGGAAACCCAACAAAACCTAACCTAACTTATTGCTGACTTTCAAATCAAGCAAGTGCTGAAAAATTTACCCTGCTCTTTTTGTACCTACTCAAATCCATCCATTCAACCAGACGCGCTATTGAAATGAGCGTACCTGCTTATTTAAAAGGCATTAAGTCAGCTAATCCGGTAGCTGTATTTAATTCAGGAGTTACTGATTTCAGGTATCCATGTCCTGCGTATTGGGTGCTCAGTAAAGCGGCCGAAGGGCAGTATATTATTGTTTGCATTGTCTAAGCTCTTTCCAGAACTAGAATGGGGCTGTGTAGAAAAAATAACTTAAATATAACGATAGAGATAAGCAAAACAAACTCACTCAAGCAACAAAACTATTTTTGCTCTGTCCGGTTTCATATCTCTTAATAAATTTATTAAAGCTTTTTATTCCATCAGCCCAAAAATCGACAGAATATTTATTTAAAACCTATTTGCACATTAAGCGCTGATCAGATATTTAAGTAAAATATTCCTTCTCTCTCTACCATTATTTCTTCCAGGTTTCGCACATCATCTCGTCGGAATGCATAGTCACTTGCATGCGCCCGATTGGCGTGCCTTGAGTGCCGTTGGCAACCCAGCTGCATTAGCTCGACCAGGTTTTCCGCACGGTGCGCCCTTCTTTCATCATCAACATCCCGCTTTTCAGGCGCACAGCATAGCCGGTAGTTTGGAGCGCCACGGACTGCGCTCTATAAATGGTTTGTGACTTTAAAATCCCAAAATCCAAATTCAAGTCTAAATTTTCGTATATTTCCTCCCTTCATAGATTCCCATCACCATTTGACACAGTTGCGACAGCTATCAACGGTGGGTGCGGCGCATAGTACTACCAGTCCGGAGGGTTCGCCCACAACGACAACCCACAATTTAGATGGACGGCCGCCGCTCACCACCTCCCCGCCTTTAACCACAACGAACAGTGATAACGATAATAACAATAATATTGATGCTGGTTTCGAAAGCGATAGCATTTCGGTGACGGGCTCGCCAAGAAAAACTTCTTCGCTACACGAAGACGACGATGGACGCAGCACTTCGCCGCCTTCGAATTGTGGTTCTGCCAGCGGTGGCGGTGGTGGTGGCGGTGGCGGCGCTTTCACATCGCTCATACAACGAAATTCGACGCTGCGCAAGAATGAGCTCTTCACTGGATTCGCGTCACAATTCTCGCCCGCGGCCAGCAACTTCAATCCCGCCTTAGCAGCGCAACTTTTCTTACAGAATCCGCTGCTGCCGCAGCCTAGCCAATGGCTGTATACACAGCTTTACGGTAACTACAGTGACTTTCCTTGGTTTCGAGGCGCTAGCAATGCCGTTGGTGATGGCTTGGCGCAACCAGTGCCGCCAGGTGTGCCACCCGCCGAACTGTCGGGCACAACTAGCCTGACAGCGACGGATGCGTGCACAAATGGTGTTAATTTAGTAAAACGTTGTGTAACGCTGATTTCACATTCGCCGGATGTGGAGAACGCAAATCCGAATGCTTCGCCGCCGGTCACTTCAACGCGACGCTCACCATCCCCAGTCGAGACTATCGATCTGGACGATGTGAGTACGACATCACGTACTGAACTGGAATCTGGTGGTTTTGGACCAATACGTTGCCGTACTCCAAAGTCAACTGACGTGTGGCGGCCATACTAGCGGCTGCGTAACGCCATGGTAACGGCGTTGGGTTTAAAAGAAATCGCGGAGCAGGCAGAGGCAGAGGATGAGGAGGTAGAACTTGATGTGAAGCAATGATAAGTCTAGAATGATGTCGAAGTGGAACGGAGTAAAGTATAGTAAAGTTTGGTTGTTGTGCAGCGTTGCCATATCGTAATTTATTTAGATGCCGCTAGGCCAATATGAGAAAGTGAGATTTTAAAGTAATTTAATGTAAAATAAGTTATTACTTGTACTGTTGTGGAGACAGAAATTGTACTGTTTTGTAAGACAAAGAAAATCACATATCGAATTTATAAAAAAAAATTTTAAAATATTTAAGAAAAAAATATATATCGCAGTTAGTATTAAGCACATAATCAAAATTTCACTCTAATTGTAATTGTAAACATCTATGTAAGTAAATTGTAAGTAGGCATGCATATACATATTTGTATATATGTATATGTATATGTATCTGTAATTAAAAAGTTTATTTTGTTGGTATGATTGTAGTTTTAGTAGACGTATTAACACACACAAATACATATATTACCTGTATAAAATTTATAGCCATTATGGGTTTGAAGATATTTAAAAAATTCATTGAATATTTATGTTTAAAAATCTCATAGTGAAAAATGTGAATATTAGCTTAGGATGCTCTGTTGGTATTTATATAAACAAAAAACAATATACCTATTAAGAAGGGTATAATTTCATAAATCCAATAACTTTTAAACATCACAATTCAAAAGAAAAATCTTACTCTGGTCTTTTAATAATTGCACAATGGAAATAACCGGAAGTCAAAACACACCAAAACCAGGAACGTTACAATGAATGTTTTTGTTAAATTTAGCACCATAACAGTGTATAATCTATGTATATATTAATACGCTAACATAAATTTTGTCCATCTTCGTTTGGCGATTCAACCGAACCGATTTCAAAACCAAGATCACCATTGGAAAGGCGGTTTCAAAATTGGTTCAAAATTACGGCCAAAATCGTTGTTTAAAAATTTCCATACTTTTGTATAATTGTTGTTGTAACTTGTTCAATTTGAGTGGTTTTCGCATTTTGTTTTACTTCGTAATTGAAGTTAAATTTTGTAATAAAGATAAATGTGATGATAAAGCAATAAACGATAAAAACTATTAAGGCAAAAAAGTAAACCAAAATTGCAGATAATGACGTAAATGAAAGCTGTAAGAAATACATAAGAATTAGGGTAACTGAAAAGTTAACAAAATTTATTGAAATGTTAAGATAGGAATCGAAATAAATTCAGTCATAAAAATTTTGTTATCGAAAGTTATCTAGTTACCAAAATTTATAGAATCATCGATGTTTATAGCTATCGACATTTATCGAGTTATCCATGTTTATGGATCATCCATGTTATCCATGCAAATTGATCAATGTTTATTGAGTTAACGAAATTTATATAAACAAAAACTTAAGTAGCTGTCGAAATTTAAGGATGTCGTCGAACTGTAAAAATTTATGGGATTATCGAAAGTTTTCAAATTAATTAAATTTATCAAGTTATCGATATTCATTGAATTATGCCCATTTATAGAGTTATCAATATTTATTTTCGAGTTATCGATATTAATTATCGAGCTATCGATATTTAATAATTTACTAAACTTTGTCGATTTATCGAATCGAAGCTTTGGGATTTTTCAAAGTGTGTCGAATTCTCGAAATTTCCAGGTTAAATTTATGGAGTTACTGCTTATCGAATTTACCGTATTACCAGAGTATAACGAGTTATCGAAATTTGTCAAAATTAACCTAGTTATCGAAATTTTTAAATATATACAAAGTGTATCGATTTAATAATAATAGCTTGACGCTTACACATACTACTTACTAGTATTTGACAGAACTTCTTCCCCGATTTGTGACGTGCACCTTGATGCTGTCACACAGCCTACAGTTTTACGCCGACTGCGAACGGCGATTGTATTTTTATGAGAAGCTATTTTTCATGGAACAAATCGACTCGGAGGTTTGCCATTTCCTGTCGAGGGGCGACCGTCATTAGAAAAAACCCTTTATGATTTTATTTTTTGATGTTGGGTTGAACTGGGCTTGAGTAGTAGCGCGCAGTGCTAATCACTACACCACCACAACCGCCGCCAATCGATTTATATCGAGATTAATACCTTTTTGAATTAACGAAATTTATCGAGCCCTCGAAACGCACGATTATCAAAATGTATCAAAAATTATCGAAATTAGTCGAGCTATGAAAATTTTTGAGTTTTTGAAATTCATTGTATCGATCGAAATTTATCGACAAACTGGAATGTATCCAACTCCTGCCAAAGTCCTCCAAGGACCCTCAAAGGTATAGACAATTTTAGTCACGTTTTAGTTCCAAAGCAGGAGATTTTCCGGTAAGTAATCATGTCCTTTAGAGTAAAATATGGACGCCTTTCTCAAAAAAGTGTATGTAGGTTGGTAAAAATCGACTCCTATTTTCGATTTTATCGTAAGCAAATTTTACAGGCTGGGATTTTTTTAATTCACCCTCAAAAAGTCTTATAACTTATTTGGATTTAAATGGTCAAAACCAGTATTGATTGTTAGCTTTTTAATAGGACTATTAATTCTTTACATTCTGTATAAATATATAATGGCACTTACGACACTTTTCCTCAACATGCTGAGGGGAAATTTATTAAAGAGTTGGCGCTGACGATAGCCGTCATGTTGCGTAATCAGGACATTTATAAACGAAGGAGTGGGGATATTATTAAGATTGTTTGAAAAGCCTCAATTTAAAGTCAATTAAATATATACACTGATTGACAGCAGCATGCACTCAAACTATTTGCATCTACTAGATTTTCCACAAGTTCTGTTGGTAGACACGTTGTGTTAAAGCTCGTTCAATTCTAAAATAAACGTCAAAAGCGACCATTCTCTTGTTTTTTTTTTTGATAGAGAAATAAGAAAAAAGTAAAATTTAGTCCTTCACCAGATTAGGGTCTATGCAAAAATTTTCGTTTTTGGGAGATTTTCAGCAAGTTTCAAAATCAATTTTTATATCTTTCGGCTCGCCGTGTGTTTTAAACCTTTTTCTTAAAAAAGGGCGCTAAACGAAAACTTTAAATCTAGAGCTTAAAATAAAAGATTGGAAGGAAAGCAGAACTGCAAATGTTGTGATATTGAAGAGCGGTAAAACAAAAATCTTAAAAGCAATTTGAAAGGAGATAAACAACAAAGTGAAATAATTTCGAAAGTGTGCATCACTATGGTCGTATAGCTGGTATTAAGATGGCAGTTTAAAATTCTGTTGCAATTTTTTCTATACAGGGGCATAAGACATGAACCTTAGCCCCCTTGAATGTTTGTTTTTAATATTTCTGATATGCTTTACAATCTTTTAGCACCTTAGCAAAGCAATATTTTCAAAAACGATTTAGTGATTGCGGCTTCCGTTGCATAACAGTAGATTGCACTTAATTTTGACGATGGAAATAAGCTGATTTTTAAGCATTCAGTTGTATGAAGCGCCGATGGAACTTTGGTAAAAACTGCAGTTAAAATTGCTATTTAAAATGAAGTCCTACGCACACACTGTCGCTTACGATCAAATTGTAGAAACGCAAAAGTATAAACAAAGGAAACAATAAAATTCATTTTGCGATTCGACAACACTATAGGGACGCTAAATTGACACCAAACAACGCCGATACTTCTTTCTATTTGGCACTACAAACCATTTTCAGGTTTGGGACGAGACCAAAAAGCTTGTCGACTTGACTCTCTCCTGTGCGAATTTGCGCCAGTTGCCCATCCCGAGCGCTGACAGGTCCTTCTGAACTAGATCCTTCCATTTTGTTCATGGGCGCTGTTGCTTTCATTGTCTGCGTATTGGTGCCGAGTCGAAGCATATTTTCACTTGAGCGTTGTCATCCGTGTTTAAAACATAGCAAAGCCGCTGTATTTTTATGGGCCTAACTGTGTCCATCTTCTTCGGTACCCATCGCCTACGCGAACAGGGCCGCAGATCTTGCGTAAAATACTTATCTCGAAGGCCCCCAATGCCTTGTCATCTTTGACATCGTCACTGTTTCTGCGCCATATAAAAGGATGATGACAGACTTGCAGACCGTGATTTTTCTTCTGTTTTTCAATTGCCTACTAAGCCCAAAGTAGCACCTGTTGGCAAGAATTATTCTTCGATTCATTTCCAGGCTGACGTGGTTGTAGGTTTTTATGCTGGATCTTAGATTGACAAACTACTTCACTACTTCACAGTTATAACTGCTAACAATGGCGTGTGGGCCAAAACGCGTGGACCCTTTGTGTGCTGCCAGGAGGTACTTTGTCTTGCAGACTACGGATCTATATACACTTTTTTAGATCGGGTCATTGTACCAAGATATTTTCTTTTAAACTGCGAATGAAAAAAAAATACAAATTTCATAGCCATGTGCGAGTATCGCCATGTACGATATAGCGTATGAGTAACATTATCTCGATATGAATGTAAAGACGACTTTAGGAATCAGTAACATATTTATGTACATATAACAATAAATTCCCCTGACAATCCGAAAAAATTAAAAACCGAGGGAATTTCTATTCAAATATAAACAAAGATCGCTCTTCGGTCTCCTCGCGAAATAAATTCTTAAATAACACAGGTTAAAAAAAACTGTTTATGCATATTAAACCAAACCTATGTATATATACCTATGTCATCCGACGGGCTGAATCACGTCAGGTTCGTGGTCAGTTGAAGGTCAAGCACCTGAAAATCATATATATGGGGTTTTAGATTCGCTGAACGCGAATCCGAGGTCCGTTAACCTCCACAATGTCAGTTTCGCGGTCATGTGAGGGTCAAATAGGACAACAAAATATTCAATAAAAATCTTTTTTTTTTTGTTTTCATTGTCGCTGAATCCGATTATGGGGTTCCTTGATTCCTCAAGGTAATCTAAAGGTCATGCCAAGATCATCCCAAGGTAAAATTCAGAAGCATTTTATTGAATTTTAAGACCCTTTCGGGTCATTCGTGTACAGAAAGATATTTCAATCTCCGCAACCGT